GTGCCAGACAATGGTGACGTCAACGCCAAGAGCAAGCGAGGCGGGACGGACTCGCGGGTGTACGCCACGCAGCACTCCCCGCAGACCTGCCCCGTGCAGGACTACAAGGAATATGCCCAGAGGCGGCCGCCAGCCATGCGCTATGAGGACGCGCCTTTCTACCTCTCCATCAAACCTGTCGTCAACTTGGCCGCGCTTCACTGGTACAACTGCCAAGCCCTGGGGAAAAACAAGCTTGCCAAGATGGTAAAGACGATGTGCGAGAAAGGCAACATCCCCGGCCGGAAGACCAACTTCAGCGTCTACCAGAGCTGTAGCACCCTCTCCGAAGCGCAGAGCAACCAACTGGTGCTGATCTGCAATAACTTGAGCCAGCAGGCTGCCCAGTCCATGGCCAGCCACTCCAATACCAGCAACTTCATCGTGTCAGCATCGTACGACTCCTCCTCTGACACGGCCTGAAGGAGGGGCATCAGCTGAATATTTCTTCCTTTTCCTTTTCCTTTCACACGCTGAGTTTGTGCCCAACAAAACACATGGACTGTGATTGTACACTGCTCCCCCATAGCCCTCTCTCCAGTCTTAATTCACTTTATAAAAATATAGAAATACATAATATATTTTTCTTTTTACAAATAAGTCAATAGAAATAGTTTAGTATTACTAACATAGTATTTACAGTGTTAATACAAAAACAAAAGGTATTTAGGGGTTATAATGCAGATTTTAAAATGACAAAAGTGGTTCTCAGGCAACACAAGACAGACGGGAAATCCCGTTTCTGACATGCACACATCAGTGTGAATCCCCAGGGAGGCTTACGTAGCAATTCTGTTTTAAAGCATTTTTCAACCTCTTTTAACATGACCTCCCAGAGTGGAGGAGGCAAACATATCACTGGCTGCTGCTTCTTACCTGCTGGCTTATTCTTGATCAGCAAGACCAAGAAATAAGACTTACATCAGTGTTCACAAAACCGTTATACAACAATTTCTTTGTAGTTTTAATTTTGTTTCCTGAGGCTAATTTATGGCAGATGGGGAAAAAAAATACCCCTGAAGACAGCTGAAGACTATTTTTAACCGTTGGTTTTTGTTGACGATTTTCTGTCATCTAAATGTTGCTGGTTTTTAGGCTAAAAAAAGGATTATTTTCAACAACATGGGAAAGCATAATGGCAAAACCACTGTCATACATGTGATTTTCACTGTTTAAGCATGAGTTGTTAGTATTTTGTCACTGTGTATACTTAATGTAAAGTCTACTGACTTAGAGTCACTCTTTCAGTGTTCTGGGGAATGCAACAGTGCAGAAAAATCCACAATCTTATCCCAACCTGCACAGAAATTTATTCATCAAATGTGTCTAAGCCATCATTTGAAATCCACAAAAAGATAGCATAGAGAGTGTGATGATAATATCCTGTGTTTTACAGAAAATGGAAGAGCTGAGTAGTTCTAATTGCTGGAAAACAAATTTAGGTCAGCTGCACAAAATGTATTTCCATTGCGGGCAGTGGCAAATGTGCATGTAAATCCAAAGGCAGAATCTGCTCTTTTAAAGCCTTGAGATAATGAGTGTTGCTGTTCCAGCATTTGCCTTTGCAACATAACATTTCTTCTCTAAGTATGGGGAAGACACTAACCAATTCAGTATTTCAGTGAATTATTATAATTCGTGGCCTTTAAAATGATGTGTGCTGCTTGTCAAGTAGCTCAGCTCAGTTTATGTTCCACTAGGATATTCCAGGGCTGTGATGAGGCTTTAGAGAAGTGCCCTGGGGTGATCTCAAGCCCACTGGAGTCAGTGAAAGAGTCAGCCTCAGCTGACTTCCCATGGGGGCTGGATCAAACTGTCACTGAGGGGCTTTTTATTTCTTGAGTTTTGATTGGGGTTTTTTTTGTTTGTTTGTTTTTCTCGGTGCTGGTTTGTCTTTATTCCTTCACATTCCTACATATCCTTTGTGTTCTGCAACTCTGCACTTACTTTAATCCTTACTAATTCCAAAGAAAGGGTGAAACAAAGGTAGCAGACAGAAATAAACTGATTCACCTGGCACTGTTTAAAACCTGCTTTCTGTGCTGCTAGGATGAAGTGTTCTGTGAGCGAGGGAGGTGGCAGAAGACCTGCACCTCACTTAGGACTTGTTGAAGGTCTGTTGTGGGCATGGGGTAGGTAGCAGATGTGCCACTGGAAGGTTTAACAGTAGAGATTTCCACTGTGACAAATGCTTGTCCTCCCATGAAGCTTCCTGCAGGTGAGGCTGGTCTCCCTGTGCTCTGCACATCACAGCGAGTCTGGCACCAAGCCCGAGTGTCCTGTGTGCAGCTGTCCCAGGGTCTTGGACACCATGGCAGGCACCCAGCCTGCAGCCTCTGAGGTGCTGCTGGGCAGTGGGCATGGTGAGTCTTTCCTACTGCAGAGCTGTGCTCTTGTGACTTGAGACCAACTCGTGCCTCTCCTGAAGTGGGTGCAAGCTGTGTCCATGGCTTTCAGTGCCATGGCTTATCTGACTGGTAGGTGAAGGGGAAGGAAGCACAAAAAGATGAGGTGCAGACAGCAAGGGGGCTGTCCAGCTTCCAGATGACAGCAGCCATCAGACTACTGTTAGCATAGTCTTGCTTTTTCATGGCTCTGCTTTTAATGGGATATGGTTAAAAAACAGTTTTGCAAGGCCAGTATTGCTCTCTGTGGGATTGCTTTGCTGTTTCCCACAGAGAACTCACGCAGCTGTTCTTGGTCTTTGCTAGGGTGTGGGGGAACCTGTGCTAAGGATCTCAGAGGTGCCATATGAGAAACCAACTGTGGAGCCAACCTCTTAGGGATGTCTTTGGTCTCTATTTCTCCCCCACTGACAGTCACCTCACCACCTGCCAGTGGCAGCTATTGCAGGATCTGACCTGCTTCTCTACCTTGCCTTTCCTGTCCTGTAACATGAGGCTGGGTATAAGCTGCCCTTTGTGGGCCAGCAGATCTCGGCTTCCCATGTCTCCTCCCCTGTCCAACCACACCTTTTTGCTGGGAAGAGCCACCTTGAGATGGTAGGGGAAAGAAGTCGTCCTGTGGAGTGGCAGACTCATATATCTCCAGACCTTATAACCAAATTCCCTCTCACACTATTACTGGGCTCAGAGCTTGTGTGGGTTACTGTGGTAGTCTCAGCATTGCAGGGCTGGTTTTTTTCTGCTTTGCAACATCGGTAGCAGCTCCAGCTTCCAGTTGGTGCTGGTGGCAGATTGGCAAATTGTAATGAGGCAGCCTCAAATAGGTGACTTGTTGAAGTAGTTGAACACATATGTCCAGAATATGGTACCCAAGTAGTATCATCCTCTCAAAATAAATGTATTAGCTTTGAAGGGCATTTAGCACAGCATTTTACCCAGTCTTCGTTTGAGGAGTGTTGCAAGAAATTGAGTGACCAGAGCTTAAGGAATGGCCATTTGTAGGAGAGCTCTCAGAGAGTTGCTAACCCACTGGAGGGAGGCTTGTGTTTTAAACCACTGTCATTGTTTTGTCTCATGCTGGTGGGAGACCAGATGTCCCAGTAACCGTGGCTCAGCCCACGGGTGACAACTCCGGTGGTGGTAATTGTCTCCCACGCCTGTGACCAAGAGTGTCAGATCTCCACCAGCAAGCTGCCAGCTCACTGTGATGGTGTGCAGACTCCCTACTGCCAAGAAATGGCAGTGTGGCCAGGAGCTGGAGCTGCCAAACCTGACAAGCCTTCCTATCTCCTTCCTCTCTGCCTGAGCAAAGGACTGGGGTTTCCTGCCTTGGCTTTTGACCCGAGTACTTTTCACCATGACATCAAAAGGGCAGCTGGCAAAATGCCGTGCTGCTCCCATTCAGCACAGCTTGTGAGCTGGTGGCAGGTGGGTGGCTTGCAGTGAGGCATAGCAGAGCACTGCCTCTGCTCCTGACATGCAGCAGAAAAACAGGGAAGTCATATCTTGTTTTGCTGGATTCCTGAGTTCAATCTGCTCACAAATAGAGGTGCAGAACCAGTCTGGGAGGTAGAGGAAGGAGTTCCCCTGCCAGCGTCATGGAGTCATTGACCTGGCTCACCTCCTGCAGCCTTGGAAAGCCATCAAAAGGGTAGTGCAGACTGAGACCCTTCTGAACCATTTGCAGATGTATTGGTTACCTTCAGAATCATCTACGTACCAGCTTTTGAGGGATTTGCTCTGTGCTACCAAGACCAAAATCTGCCCTTGAACTTAAGCAAGAGGCAAAGTGCCAAAGGACAGGCCTGCATATAGTGTGCAGAAGCCTGCATGGATGTCAGTGCAGGCTTTCCCATGTGGCCTTCTGGTGACACCAAACCAAGAGTCAGACATGGGGATTACACTTGGATGTCACTGGGCTGATCTGGGTGCAACTGTGCACAATACATGCGCTTGGATCTATTCCACATTTGGCGGGGCAGAGCTGTGGGCAGTTGGGCGGCTTAAGCTCTGTCTTGTTTGTCACTCAAGTGTGTATTTATCATCTTCTGAATTTGCACAATGCACGTGTATTCATGCAGGTTGTTGAAAGTGAAGTCTTTAATATCTGTGTGTTGCAAACTGCCTGTTTGATTGTCAAATACATGCAACAAAATGTGTTTTTAAGTGCAGGAGACTGAAACACTGTTGTGAACTACATTGTAGACCAAATTACAAGGCATCTGGAAAACAGCAGCACAGACCTTGTTCCTTTGTGTAGTGCAATGATTGTAGGAAAGCAGCACCCAGGCTACTGACGTGTAGGACAATCTGACCATGGAAACAGTGTCCTTGTTGGCACGTTCTCCATTGTGAAGAGTATCAGTGCTTTCGATCTTTTTTACGTTTTTGTTTTGAGAAGCTGCTGTGCACTGGTATTCAGTCTAGAGCGTCATTGTCCTCTTGGAAGCTGATGCAGAGAATGAGATGCAAGCAATGTGTTGTGCTGCTGTGCTTGCTTGTCTCAAGTGTTTGTGACCGGAACTTGTTCTGCTCTTTGTGCAAGTGAGATGGGGTGGAAGATGGGGATCAGGAGGAGCAGGTGTTTTGTCACTCTAGAGCCTGGGCTGAAACAACCTTTAAGGAAATGGAGTATTCCTGTTGCACTAGGATTCCTCCCTGTCCAGCTCAAGTTTACCCTTTCTTGTTCCTGTGTCTGAGTACATCCTGTAAGTGCATTGACTGACCTGACTAGCACTTGGGGTGCACAGGCTGACCATTCCTCCTGACTGTAAGCTGCAAGTGACTGTGACTGACTGACTGGCTTTCCCCATCCCAAACATCCCTGCTCCTCTCTCTCTCTCCAATTCATCAACCTTCCCCTCTCCTGGTGTCTGCACTGTGGGGCAAGGGCACCGCTTTGTGCAGGGAGTCCCTTGGCTGAGAGCTCACTCCCTGCCTCCCAAGTGACCTTGTGCTTTGGGGATAATGCACTCAGGGTGGATGGCCCTGCGTTGGGTACGCAGGGCTTGTGGGATGCTGCGTGTCAGCGTGCTGTAGGCTCACAACTCATGCTGGCAGCACTCTCCCTCTCTCTTCTGCTTTGTTGTGAGAGAGCAATCAAATCATGAAAGGAAATGAAATTCACTCCTGTGTAGAGGACCAGAAGAGGACTGAGACACCTGGTCCTCAACAGTACGTAACTCTTGGGCTCATTACATCATGGAAGACAGCTCATGTAGTACAGGCAACAGGGCATTGGGAGCCCCAGGACTCCCTGAACTCCCAGAGACAGTGTCAATCTGTGGGAGGAAAGAGGGCTGGCAGGACACACAAATACAGCTTGATTTGCCTGGAATGATCCAGTTCATGCCTCTCGGTTAAAGGTTGGAGTTTATTAATGAGGGTTTTTTGCTACATGTCAGTGTCAAGAGATGCCTGCTTTGCCTAAGGACAGTTGTTATCCTTGTTTTTAAGAGGAAGGATGTGTTTTTTTCTCTTTCTGTGCTTTCATCTCTGTGCTAAATCTGCATTCTGACTGTAGAGGAGGAGTGTGAAGAAAAGGCAGTCCAGCATAAAGTAGGGCTAAATTCCTAGCCCAAACACTAGAACTGTGCTTTCTGGTGACAGTTCTCATATGCTGAGCATGCCTTGGTGGTCGGGGGCAGTACTGCATCAGCTGGTGTTTCCCAGCACAGCTGTTGGCTCTCTGCAGAGCCAATGTGCCTGTTGCTGCACTGCTCTCCAGAAAGGGAGAGCCTGGGGAGACGCTTGCCAAGGACGCACCTATCAGCCAGGTGTCTTCGAGCCAAGAAGGGGGAAGGCCCTAAGCACAAGGAAATGATGATGCTTTCCCCATGGGTAGCAGCGTGTGATGGACATGTGAGACTGCATCATGTCTCCTCAATGCTTTTGGAAATCTAAGGACCACCAAGGACATCACTGTTCCACCTCTTTCGCAGCAGCATGACTTCAGCTGATGATGGAGTGGTCCTTCTGAGGACATGTGGGCTTTCTCTCTGAGCCCCCAGCAAGTTGTGTGGTTACACTGCTACCAGCTCTGCTCTTGCATACCTGGTGCCAGCCTGTTCCTCCTTCGTGTGCTGCCTCTAGCTCAGGCCCTGCCAAGCTCTGCTGAAGTTGTCTTCCAGCACTGAAAGCAACCGAGAGGCTGAGAAGCTAAAAGGCCCCACAGCTTCAAGACGTCCTTAAGCTGCTTGAGAATGTTGCTGCTCGCCACTCACTGGACCATGTTCAAAGCCGTGGGGATGTCTAAGGCTTTCATTCCTAATCTGAAAATGGGGAGAAAAATGAGTTTAGAATGAGAGGTGCTTTTACCTGAACTGATGGGTTTTAACCTAGTCACTAGAGACTCTGTCTCAAGTGCAGAATTTATTTCCTCTGTTTTCTCACTGGCCTGGTTAACTTGAGTTGGTAATGCACACAAAATGCAGTGTGTTTTATTACACAAATGCCATTCAATGAGCTATCTGTGTGTTTGAAATGGATTTACTGTTTCAAAGGGATTAGGATGGTTTTGCCTAATCTTCTGTTCTTGTGCTCAGCATTCGTTACACAGCAGTCACTAGTATCTGAAAAAATCAGTACCCTTTCAGATGTCAGTTTGATATTTTGTCTTTAGTAGAGGTTTCAGTTCATAGTGTTTATGAGACTGGCGAGGTGGGTGGTGTCATTGAAATTCAGTGGGACAGACTTTCAGTGGGAATGAGAATAGGTGTTTAGCTCTTTCACGATGCTTCAAGAATCTGACTTTGCGTTTTGTGCTTACTGCTGTTTTATACAGTCTGTAAGTGTCAAGAGAGTAATGAAACAGCCAAGTGAGGGGAGAAGAATAAAAAAATGCAAAATGTTTTAGACAATCTTACACTAAAATTAATTGTACAGATAACAACTTTGCCACTTCAGCTGTTATTGTGAACAAAGGTGATTCTAAAATTCTTCATGCCTAGCATTTGGTCTGCTTTCTGAAGGCTGTCATATTGCAAAGACTGACCTTCTTACCATTCTAGCATGTTCTCAGCTGGCCTAAACCACATGTAGCCTTACATAGTCCCTGGTCTGCCTCACATTGCTCCTGCCAGAATACCTCCTTCTGTTCTACTATCATGCATTTAACACACTTCCTCTGTGTCAAATTTCCAGCCTGAAAACAAGCCAGTGCAGGAGAGACACTTCACCCGCTGTATCTTCAGCAGCAGATGCAAAGTGTAGCTCCAGAAGGCTGCATTCTGAAGGGCAGTAGTGGTGGTCTTTGAACAGGGTTTGGTTGCTTTAGTGTAGGAAGACAAATCTCCCACTCTGAGGCTGAAGGTGCACTGAGTGATGATTGCAGTGTAAAATGCTTTGTGGAGTCCTTTGTTTTCTGTGGGAGCATCTTCTGTGAGTGGCTTGCAAGACTGGGTTTCTCTGCACAACACTGTGTGCATGGACGTGAAATGCAGAAATAGTGAGAGTGTTCAGGAAGCTGCAGACAAACCACCCCATGAAATGTCTGGATGAGACCTGAAAACTGTCAGTGGAAGAAATTGAAAGAAGCTCATTTTGCTCTGGTTCATGGCAGTACCTGCAAGCTGGTGGGGCTGCTGTTGGAGAGGATTTAGTGCCAGTTCTGCAGAGCACAGTCAGAAATGCATGCCTGCAGTGCTTCTTGCTTCCACCCCCTTTAGGCTGTTAACTGCACGTAGCTCGTGACCAGCCTCCCAATAACAAGTGGGTCTGAAGTCTGCAGGTAAGGACATGACTTGGCCATAGTTGTGTTGTCAGTGTTTGCTTTTGCCAGGAGAGTCCTCTGTCTCAAGGTCATCTTGAGACCTCTTGGGATTGACCAAATTACTCGAGATTGGAGGAAAAAGAAGCGGTGGAATATGAAGTGTCATAGAGACAGTGGAAAGGCAGTGGGAAAGCCTGGCAAGCACAGTGGAAATTTTTATCTTTTTTTTTTTTTTTTTTTTTTTTCCTAAATAAGGCAAGCCTAATCCTTATCCTTTAATATCCTACTTTGTTTTTCACTGGAATTAGAAAATCTTTTCCGTTTGTTTTAATTACCTGCTGGCTTTAATTCTGCCTCTGAAAAGCATTTTTGCTATGACAACCCTTGGTCTCATGGTGAGCAGAACTGGGAAGAAACAGCTCAAGTAAGGCTTTGATCTTTTCCTGCATTCAGTGTTTAATCTTTCTAATCTTTTAATGTGAATGTGTTTTCTCCCAGTTATTAAACTGACAAGATTAGCTCTCTCCCAAAACAGCAGTTGAAAAATAAACTTAACCAAATTTTCACCTAACATTGTGAACTCTCCTAAGTGTTCAATCCATTCTGAGTTAAACCTCTCTCTAAGGCTGACTTCCCACTCACTGACTTTAATGACAACTCATTTTTTTTAAGAACAGTTTGTAAAAAAGTAGATTCTGTTAATGCTTTTGTTTTACAAGAAGAAGATTCGGTGTCCTGCCAAATAATAAAAAATAATAATAATAATAATAGCAACAGTATTTCTATGCATTGTGTGATTCAGTGATGTTGCTCTTGAAGTTTTGCATGTTTTCTAGATGTTCTGGCATTGGTACGTTTATGTGGTACTTGTAAAAATGTTAACCAGTGCTGCTATAATTACCACCGTCATAGGCAACTGGAACCTGTATGACAAAGCTGTGCCAGTTGGCAGGTTTTCTTGTGTGTCATGGCAACACTCTGCATTCTGCTGTTCATTTCCTGATTTAAGCCAGTATTTAGTGCCTTCTGTAGAAGGAATCAATACATTGCGGAGGTGCAGAACTTCTAATACCTTGTTCTATACAGATGATCACTTGCCAGCTAGAAGCCTAAAAGAAAAAAAGTAAAAAGAAAAAAAAAAAAGAAAAAAAATCAATGTTGAACTCTCTAGCTTTTTTTTAAGTGTCTTCTCATTACTTGTAATCTGGAAAAACCTCCTTTAGTAGAGGTGAAAGGAAGCCATCTTCCCCAGCTACACCTGCTGCTGTCACAGTCTTCCAGCTGTGAGTGTGAGCGGTAGGAGGGAGTGCATAGTGCCCAGGTGTTCCCATTGGTAATGGACCCAGAGATTAACCAAACTTGTGTAAGTCCTTGCAGAGCAGGCTAAAATGCTGTTTAATTAAATTATCGGATTGCCATAAAAACTGTTGGCTCTCTCAGCAGTTGTGAGCCCCTCTTGTAAACAAGCGTCAGCCTGGTCAAGTGGTGTCTCTCTTCCTCCTCTGCTGAAGCCACACGTTACTGCCAAATGAGACTTGGATGAAATTCAAGCCTAAGATTCTTGGTCTTTCCAACTGCTTTCATGGCAGACAAACCCTGTTTATCAAAATTCTGACATTGCATTTTCGACCCGCTGCTCAGAACCTGGCAGTACAGCAAATACAGACATGCATATGTGTTTGTTTTGGTTTTGAGAAGATTTTGACAGGCTGAAATGGGTACTACACTGTAACTGTACAACAGCAACAGGCAGGAGGGAAATGTGTGATGTTAACCTGTCTAGTGCACTTCCCAGCCACTTCGCATGGTCAGCTGCACCTAGGCTGGTCTTCAAAATACCATTTTGTAGCAAAAAAAGGAAAAAACTAACCATCAGTTTTCCATCTCTATTGAGAGATGAAAGCCTGTTACATGTCTTGAAAAGACTTTTCAACCAAAATACAAAGTTGCTATAAAAACAGTGTAATTGGGAAAATAAGACTGTTTGGAATTCATCCTTACGGGTACAGGTCCACAGCCATCTATCTCTGTTCCCAACAAAGGCAAATTACAGTTTAGAATTTATAAATTTGTGATGTAATAGACTTCCCAAAACAGAGGGTTATGCCAAAATTTTCAGTGTTGCTGCCCCCTTTTGTGGCACCCAGGACATACACAAAAGGCAATATTGAAGGATGCAGCCCAGAAGACACTACAACTCACCCCATGTAGTGGGTCACAAGCCAGTCCCTTGTAAACAGATGAATTTGAAAACCCCAGCTAAAGATCTCAATTTTATGTTTGTCAGGATGTTCAGAAGCCTGTTCTGGCACCTCTGTTCCCATCCTTTGGAGGGAACAGGGCTCTCTTCAGAAATGTTTGGCCCTTTTTTCCTTTAAAAACTGGTGGCTTCTTCAGGCTCTTTGTGCCAGATCAGAAGCAAGCTGATACTAGTTTCAATGTGTTTCTGCATTGTTTTGTTTGCCTAGAAGCCATTTACACAAGAAGGTGTGCTTCCACCAGCATGAGTGAAGAGTTTTGACTCTGCAGAGCCTGTTTGGCTCTGATCCTAGATATGTGTGGCAGTGACACACAGACTTGTGTCCTGCATTTCTCCTATTTATAGCTAGATCCAAGTCTCCAGGGTCCTACCAGCTTCCAGCCCCTGTGGTGCCTTCAGTGTACATGTTGTCAGCCCTGTAGTTGTTCTTGTAATTGCATTTTGTCTGAAGCGCATTATCTTGCAGGACAAGCTTTTGGTTTTTGGGGTGTTTTTTTAGAAGAAACCCTTTCTGCTTATGTATGCTGTGCTGCTGAGAGCAGCCAGGAGGGAATGATCCATCCAAACCCCAGTGGAATTTGGAGATTTTCTTTTTTTAGATGCCTTTGCAAGCCCCAGCTGTAATCAGCTATTTAAGGCAGAGATCTTAGCATGAGCAGTGCTTCATACATATCTGCCACTGAAAATGCACTTTTAAGTACATGGGACACTTTCTTACTCAGATCTCTTGCCCCTGCATTTGGGAGATTATATACTCGAGTTAATTGGGGAGAAGTCGTATTTTCATGCATTTTAATGTATGAAGCCCTGAAAACATAGGTTATCTGAGGGGAAGGGAGAGATTACTGCATCAGTTTCTGAAAACAGGAGCAGACTTCTCAACTACAGTTCTTTTTCAGAGCTACCTGTTCAACCCCACTGTCCTCAAATTACCTTCCTTTTGGAGTTGCACAGTGACCTGAGAAAAACAAGCAAAGAAGGCTTCGCTGCTGAAAATGAGGAAAGTTTTCATGACCTACTTTGAGCCCGAGATTCCCTTCTGGGTTTCCAGGGCTGGTAATCTTTTTTGTCATCAGTCAGATAAGTTTTCACCCATGTGGATGCCATATTACTATTTCTGCAGTGTGTTCCTAAGAACAAACTTCATACAGGGAAATGTCCTGCAAAGTGAAGGCAAATGCAGTCAGCAAAGCTGCCTTGTCACTGGTGGCTTTTTGTGGGTTCATTTTCCCTACTCCATGATGCTCCATTTCTTTAATTGGATGGAGTACACAGGCCTATGCTGTGCTGCATGCCTGCAC